TGGTTTAGTAATGAATTCTCCTACTTTATGTAGAGGCTATGGGTTATCATTACACCCTGACAATGTTTTATGTATAGATCACAAATGAAGGAACTTCCATTGCTTCTCACTGCCTCGTTCCACACCATTTTCAGGGCACAAAAAATACCCCACCAAATTCTTCCACTTCCTCCCACATGCATTGGAATTTGTCAATTATTTCCATGAGGAACTGCATCACAAAAGGAAAATTAAGATTATCAGCCTGTAGAAATGTAACAGATTTATAATTCCTTTACAAGCACTGTTGTCATTAATTACCAGTATGGCTTCCATTGTAAAAGTCCTTTAAAATCTCTGAGATCATTTAAAGCGAATTTTTTTTCTATATGGTGACCTTGCCATCAGCCTTGACTTTCTTTGTAAGTACTCTCAGTAAATACATACAGTTCAAGATTATATTTTAAAATGTATCATGTATGCAGATTAGGCCCTCTCTCCAGTCAGGTACCCTTACTATCAAACAAGTTCCCGAACAAACAATCATTAATATATGATTTATATTTAGTTTTCTTCTATTTATTTGGACAGTGACATACTCCACTAAATATTTTCCCTTTTTTTTCTTTTAATCCCTGCTTTTATATCTATATATTTTTAAGGACACTTTAGGCGCTGCTCCACTCCTTGTACTTTCAATCATTAATATATACATCTAATAACATTAATTTCTATCCTGTACCATTAACATTTTGAGTTAAACAATTAAGCTATTAGAACATCCCGATGAGCTACGTCGAGCACAGGTCAATGAATGCTGAGTTACTCTGTCTCCATTCAGACTTATTTTAAGGAACTTAAAAATGGCTTTATTTGAAACATTTCCATTCAAAATAAAGCAATCAAAGGAAGACATTATCGGAAAGAGAAATAAAAGTATGTCAAATCTTTAACTGCGCCATTATCCCATTTCTGAAATTGAGCATGACCTTCAAGTATAAATTGATCACTACCACTTAGTATCTTACTCTTTGTAAAATACCGCTGCATGAATATATAACTATTGACAGGCGTTGTATCTTTACAATGAACATTCTTACAATATCTTTCTCTATTAACAATACAGATTGGTGGTCGTCAATCATTATAGCTCTTTAAATGCAACAATGCTTTTTGTTATAATAGTTAATTTGTTCATCTACTAAAGCTGTTTTGAATTGCTCTCTTCCATTTTACCTTAAAGGGACACTCCAGGCACCCAGACCACTTCTGCCCAGCTGGGTTCCAAGTCCCACTACCCTTAACCCTGCAAGTGTAATTATTGCAGTTTTCATAAACTGCAATATTAACATTGCAGGGTTAAGTCCTCCTCTTGTGGTTGTCAACTAGACAGTCACTAGAGGAGACTTCCGTGTTCATAGAACACGAAAAGTGATTTAAAACGACGCTGGACGTCCTCACGCTATGTGAGGACCTCCAGCGTTGCAGAAATTCCCATAGGAAAGCATTGAAAGCATTATTCAATGCTTTCCTATGGGGAGGTCTAATGCACGTGTGCGGCCATTGCTGCACATGCGCATGAGGTATCCCCCGCTAACGGGCAGGGGAGAAGCGTAGGTGGTGCCTGACCCAGCACCAAGGGATATCAGCGCTGTACTCCGGTAAGCCACTATCAGGAAGTATTACTTTACTGAGATGGTAGTGGATGCATGGAATAGCCTTTCAGCTGAAGTGGTAGAGGTTAACACAGTAAAGGAGTTTAAGCATGCGTGGGATAGGCATAAGGCTATCCTAACTATGAGATAAGACTAGGGACTAATGAAAGTATTTAGAAAATTGCCCAGAATAGATGGGCCGAATGGTTCTTATCTGCCTTCACATTCTATGTTTCCATGTATATGAAATGTCATTGTCTATCAGGTAAATTAAACGTTGATCTTTTTTTAGGGATTTCACCATGTTTGGATTCTCCCTGTTGCCCAGATGTACGACAGCGAATATCATCTCCGTGTTGCTACACCAGTGAGTTGATTCAGTTTGTGAAGATTCTTAAAATACATGTGCATGCTTCTATGTTTGTATACATTTTATAGAGCTTTTTAAAAAGGTACATTTACATAAAAATGTCAAGAACTATTGAAGACAAAAGTGTGCTACAATATATACATTCAGGAGTTAAATATGATAGAGAATTTAGTGCTTTTATAGAATATTTTTTTCTCCAGTAATAGTTAATTTTTGTTTCATTTCTCCAAATGTTTTGAGTTATTGGGAATAACCACCAGACATGTTCAAATGTTCACTTGAATTAAATGAGCACTCCAAACACATAAATCACTTTATATGTGAAGAGTCTGTTCTCTTTTTTTCATTTTATAAAAGTGTCAACTTCAATAGAAATTGGCAGTTTTAAAAATGCACCCTGTCACACCTCCACAGGCTGTCAATCAGAGAGTTATAAATTGGACTTCCTGGTAGTTTAGCATTGTGGGCAAGCAATTGCTCAGAGCACCTGCCTTGCAAAGACATTTTTGAATGACTTTAATACAGGCTATGTAGAAGGGTTTGATTGCACAGCCACAGAATGTCTGTGCTGGGAAGAAGGGGAGGGCTTGCAGTAGCGGCAGGTACTAGGTCTGAAGCTGTTGTAAGCCAAGATTTCATATAGCCCCCCAAAGAAAACATGGAAAACAAGTTACATGCATACTTTCTTTTGAGGTATATATACAAAATTTTTGTTGTTTTTTTCCTTTAATGGAGTGTTCATTAAAACAAAAATCTGACTATCTCCTAGTGATATTGTATAATAATAATATACAGAACTAAAAAAATAAATAAACTCTAAAAGTAAAAAGCTCAACACATTGTTCTTTATTTAAGTAATTGTCAGATTCATATAAAATTTTGTAGTTTACAAAATTTGCTCCAATAAAGCTCTATGAATCTGCCCTCTTACTGCACATGATGCAAGTACTGAAGGAATACACACGCTTTATTCCTTAAAAGGAACACTATAGGGTCAGTAACACAAACATGTATTCCTGACCCTATAGTGTTAAAATCCCTATCTAGCCCCCTTAATTATTATTATTATTATTATTATTATTATTATTATGATATTTATATAGCACCGTCAAATTCCGCAGCGCTTTAAAATGGGTGGACAAACAGACATGTAGTTGTAACCAGACAAGTTGGACACACAGGAACAGAGGGGTTGAGGGCCCTGCTCAGTGAGCTTTCATGCTAGAGGGAGTGGGGTAAAATGACACAAAAAGGTAAGGATAGTATTAGACTAGTGACAGTTGCAGAAGAGGAATCAGTCAGGAGCTATTAACAGTTTAATTGATACGCTTTTATGAAGAAGTGGGTTTTTAACGATTTTTTGAAGGAGTGGAGACTGGGTGATCATCTAACGGAGGAGGGAAGCGAGTTCCACAGGAACGGTGCAGCCCTCGAGAAATCTTGAAGGTGAGCATCAGAGGTGGGAGTACGGACTGAAGATAGACGTAAGTCTTCAGCAGATCGTAAGGGCCTAGACGGGACATACTTGTGTATAAGGGAGGATAGATAGGTGGGAGCAGCATTATGTAGAGATTTGAAAGCAAGAACCAGAATTTGAAATTGAGCTCTATATTTTATAGGAAGCCAATGTAGGGACTGACAGAAGGGTGAGGCATGGGAGGTGCGGGCGGACAGGAAGATGAGCCTCACCGCTGCATTCATTATGGACTGTAACGGCGCAAGTTGGGAGCACGTAAGACCACTGAGAAGCGGATTACAGTAGTCAAGGCAAGAAAGGACAGTGGAATGGACCAACACCTTAGTCGCATCTGGCGTTAAGTAGGGGCGGATGCGCGCAATGTTTTTGAGATGGAAAATGACAGGATTTGGCGATAGATTGAACATGAGGCTTGAAGGAGAGGTCTGAGTCAAAGAGAACACCTAGGCAGCGAGCCTGCATGGTGGAGCTGATGGTAGCACCGTTGACTTGGAGGGAGACAGACACAGGAGTAACAACACTTGAGGGAGGAAAGACCAGAATTTCAGTTTTGGTCAAGTTTAGTTTAAGGAAGTGGGCAGCCATCCAGTTAGAAACAGCAGAGATCCACCTAGCCCTCCTAAATACAGTGAAATCTTACCTTTATTTCAGTCTGTCATGCCAACTCTACTCCCGATCTGCCTCCTTAGCTTACATCAGATTTGATGATCTCAGCCAATCACAGTGCTTTCCCATAGGAAAACCGTGGATTGGCTGAGATCATCAATTCTCTATGAGGAAAGTTCAGTGTCTCCATTCAGAGGGTGGAGACACTGAATGTCAGTGCTGCACACTGTGCAGAACTGCCCCAGGAAGCACCTCCAGTGGCCATCTAAGGGATTACCACTGGAGGTGTCTCTAGGCTGTAATGTAAACACTGCCTTTTCCTTACAACAAAAAGTCTGCATGGACTGATTATACTATACTATAGTGTCCCTTTAAGCATTTCAACTTGCTATAGTTCTATTTATATCGTTCAAAGCAGAAGTGGATGCCTCTCATAAAGAATCACCAGATTCATTACTTCTCTATGATAAACATTGGACTGGTTGATTGCCACACACGCATCACATGTCCATAATGTTTTCCTATATGAAGCATTGGACAGGACCAAGATCATTGAGGGCATATTATTCTGCAGCCCTTTTGCTTATCTTTTTTTAAGTTCATGTTTTTTTTTTTTTTTGTTTTTACTAAAAAGTAGAACACTTAATCTAATAAAAAGAAACTGCACAGAAGACTGTAAAAAATATGTGGAGTGTTCGTTTGATTATGGGCACAACTAAGCAGCAACTAAACCAGGCTGTATATTGTTAAAAGGTTGTCCTTGCAAGATTCCAGATCACGTGTACCTACAATGTCACCTGTAAGCCTAAAATGATCCTAGTTTTATATTTCATTCGAGTGTAATCACACCTGCTTTACTATGTCCTTTTTGATACCTAGGACCTTGCAAATTGCTCAACAGACCCAAACTTTGCTGGAATCCTCTTCACAGATTACCATTTTTACTTCTATCGGAAGTGCACTTAGGACACTCCAGACTGTCCTTGGGAGCAATGCAGCTGTACACGTTCTCTTATACTCACTTACAGGGAGTGCTGTTCGCTGGTCTCTCATCTCTGCATTAACTACAAAGAACTATGAAGATGTATATTAAGTCAACGTTGTTAATGTTACATTATTTTCCAATTGACCTATAAAGTAAATACGAAAGTCGAAATGGTTATTTGCTGTGTAAATATGACCAGATCTCAGAATGACTGTACATGACTATTTGTGAGACACGTTTATTTTTGGGGTGGAAATAGGTAAGATCAGAGAGATTAGCTCTTTTCATAAATTACTGTATCATATGTTTGCCCATGTAAATAATAAAATGTAAAAAACTAAACCAAAAAAACCCCCCAGCATTTATTGTTATGAGCTTGCAAAACGAGGCATTCAGTCAACATTTGTATACTTTATCTAAGAAAATAAAGTACAATTATCCAAATCCCATGTGATATAAATTTAGACTAGGACAGATGGCTCTCGAAATGCCTCAAAAGCCCATAGGAATTTTGGGATAAGTATTTTATAGTGGTCTTATCTTTATATTTTAAATGGTATGTGACATTGTACATGGAAGTTGAATAACATATTTATAAGCAAAAATACATTCCCTAATTCAGTTAAAAATGGAAAAAAAATTTAAAATCATAGATATTTTCTCCAAGTTATGAAGGTCAAGCCGACCTTTCCATCTTTTAACATGAATCTTTGTTGAAATATGATTCTGGTGAGAGAGTAGAGGAGAGCTCTGTACTGGATTGTCATAATTTGCTTTTCTGCTATTATCATTTTGCCACATCGGAGACATCATTTGCTACACCGGAGACCCTCGAGCATTATTACACATGTTGTGCACGGCAAAATTTGAAAAGAAACTATGTGAATATCTGGCATATCAAATCGTATTATTTTCCTGATGTGTAAAAATTGTTTTTTCTTTGTGTATGGTAGGGATTTTTTTTTTGTAATAATTTATCATGTATAAATATTTTACTATAGAAATGAATATACATGTATTGGAGTTTTGTTAGCTATAATCGTAATCCTTAAAGGGACGCTCTAGGCACCAAAATAACTTTAGCTTAAAGGGACACTGTAGGCACTATAAATATTTCATATCATTAAATTGGTTATAGTGTCTGAAGTCGCCTGACATTGTCTCTCTATTCAAAGTTAAACTATTTTCAAGCAATGTAATATTAAATAAGGGTTCCCGGCCACCCACAGCACAGCTCCTAATGGAATTATGACTAAGGCAGAGATTACACACTTCCTTGTTGTCACACCTATTCATACCATCAACAGGCACTGTGATAGGCTGAAAGCGGTCAATTAAAACTCTCAGCCAATCACAGCTAATGCTTCCTTATTAGTCCACGCTACATAGATACTATTAAAATACTAAAATTGTTTTAACACTGAATAAAAGGACTGTGCCAAGGGACTCCGCATGCTATAGCCACCACAGTGCGGGATGAAGCTGCTAAAGTGCCTACAGTGTCTAATGAAGTGGTTGTGGTGCATAGATCATGCCCATGCAGTCTTAATGTTCAATTTTCTGCCATTTAAGAGATAGATCACTTTGTTTATAAAGCCCTATCTACACCTTCCCTGGGGCTTAGAGTGAATCTTTAAGTAAAGTTTCTAGTGTATCATTGACAATACATGTGCAATGAATTGTATCGTACAGTATAATTAAAAATTCCAGGTAGAACATGCTCTCTGAAGTAGTGAACCAGGAACCTCATCAATTTTCCAGCTCAAATGCCAAATAGGAACCTTATGTGACAACTATTCCCTATATAAGTAAAAAAAAATAGTAGATTTACCTCTTAGGTGTTTGTTAAAGAATAAAAAAAAGTAACTCAATTTCCGATTGTACTGTCTATCGAATTGGGCTTATGTGATTTCTTAGACTATTGAATCACCTGTACAGTTTGTTTATCCAACTAGAATTTATACAACTTGCACTTGTAGATGGTATTTTGAACTCTTTAGTACAAGCATAATAAATAAGATTTTGGTAGTTACTTGTCAATTACAATTTCTGTGTTAGTGGTCAGGTACATTTGGGTTTATTTTGATAACTATAATAAACCGTACTAAATTCTACCAAGAATGTTTTCTTGATTGTCAGAAAAATTGCTTTAACCACTCTATTCAATATCAATAAACAGTCATCTCAAAACCACCAATGACTAGATGTATAAAAAGAATACTTGAGTGCATTATTGCTACATATCATTTGTATGATTCTACCTTCAGTAATAATGAAACTCTGTACTTTTTAGTTTTCATCTTTATTCACCTGTATTGCTCAAACCCTTTTCAGTGTTTCAGAAATGTATATTATTGTCAAATGCTTAAAGGCTACAGCCACAGCTGTCAGTTGTAATGCACCACTAAGCATTATAAAACATACATGCTGTTTTTATCCAAGTATCTAGCAAATCATTTTCAGCTCTTTGACTCCTGTGACATGTCATTCCTTCAAATAAGTCGCCTAACTCATGCAATCATAAATATAAAAAGAATTAAAAAAAAAATAAAGACAGCCATTAGAAAGGAATGTAAATTAAACTGCTTAAGAAAGGTTTAAAAATTGCAGCAAGGTTTAGTAATTAGTAATAGGAATTCCTTAGTTCCATCAGGCTGTAAAGTACCATAAAAGATGAGGAAAATAATGTCCAGTACCCTTCTGTTGAAATCATCACAGATTTATTGATAAAAATGTCTATAGGTTATTGTGAGCATGGGTGTCCAAATTTAGCCATTTTGCTGTTGTTTAGCAGAGGATTATGGGGGATAGCCCAACACTCTAAATGACCAAAGCTGACTAGTTCACACATTGAGATAGTGAATAGTGTCAGTGAAATAGTTATGCCTCGCGCATGGCCAAGCGGTGTGAAGCACCTTTTATTATTATAAAAAACCTAAGGCATAGAACACAGTAGCACTACACGCCAAGGGTAACTAAGTAAATAATATATTAGTTTAGTTTATTTTTCATTAATATCTGGTACCCTCATTTTAGCACTTCACAACGTATTATTGATTATACTGAGGTCAATGATGAGAAGAATAAAGATAATTATGTGAAAGAGACACTATAGGCAAAATAATAAAAACATTTAGTGCCGTGTATATTGCATCATATTAAGGATGAACTGATTTATGTTTTTAATACAAAAAAGAGAACAAGGAACACAACGTTCCAAGTCCCTGTATAGCCGCCGCACCCACCACCTCAAAACCTCCCCAAAAGGGGGGCAGTGGCTGCAGGGGTCACGCAGAGACCAACGTACCAGTATGAGACTCCAGCTGTCTCAGAGGGGCTTAACCCCAAATATAAACACAAGAACAGAGAAATATGCAGACCGTCTCAATTATATGAATGAAACTTACTGCATTGACTGGAAAAAATATATCTATGTATAGCGCGATGTTCCAAGTATAGAACCTGGCTATTAGAAATAATATGGTCAGAGACCCTAATTAAACAAAGTATATACAAATGAACCTACAATCCTATGCCAGCCCAGGGTAGTATAGATCAAGAGGTAGTAAAAAAGATAACCTCACTCCCCCTTATAATTAAGCTTTATTGTGATCTGCTATAGGGATAGGAGTATACAGTAGCTAAGTCTCTATAATCCATGCATCCTAGGAAGTATCCTGGTCACACTAGAAACATATTAAGAAAAACAGAGAGAGATAAGGACTGAAAATAGAAGTAAAAAAATCAGTCAAAAACAGACTGATAATTAGCATTAATAAAGCCTCTCTCCCTGTAAAGCTAGCTAGATAGGCATAGGAAAGAAAAGAAGAAAACGATATAAAATAAAGTTAAATTAGATGGTGATCATGGTGCTCCAAACACCAGTGCCCAGTGCAGAAAAAACGCCCAACGTACGTTTCGGTGCAGAGAGATGCACCTTCGTCAGGGGCCAACAGATAACTGAAGAGAAGCCTCTTAAATACCCCAATTGCCAGGAAGCATGATTACCTTGTAGCCAATGGAGTGTGGGGGTGTATACCTCCCCAGCTGCCTCTAATATCCTGGCTATTCCTCTGTGATTGCTAATGCTCATTCATCTGTATGAAGGGGAAATCCCTCAGCCGGTCACGTGACCTGTGATGTCATGCGTCACGTGACGTATCCGGCATTCTCCTAACGGGCGTGTCTCATTCATCATAGTGCTGCAGTACTGCCCATCCGAGCCTCTCCTGTCCATCATCCTCACATGGGTTGATCCCCTGTGACAGATGGGCGGAGCTAGGTATTCTCTGTGTATGGAGAAACCGAAATTGTCCAAATTAAGGCTCAAATTGATAAGCTGCATATTGATAATGTATCATTCCAAAGTACCAATGTGTACTATATAGGATGTACTGAATCATCTGAAAATATAAGGCAGTGCTGATTACATATTATTCTAATATTGAATCTATTAAAGATGTAGTAAAGAATATGAGAGGACACCCCAATAATAAGAGAAAAATTGAATGATAAGGGGTCCTGGGGTGTTGTTAACTCCCACTCCCCCATCCCAGGCAAGGATATAAGATAATAAATATATTTAGTGTTCATAGGACCCATGCTAGGATCATAGGCGTGCGCACGGGGTGTGCCGGGTGTGCCTGGGCACACCCTAATCCCCGTGGCACGCAGGGCCGGCGCTTCCTATAAGGCGAACTAGGCAGCCGCCTAGGGCGCCATATAGGAGGGGGCGCCCTGCGCCCCCATCGCCGGCCCTTTAAATTCTGCAGCCGCCTGAGCGCTCTATAGAGTGCGCTCAGGCGGCTGCCGCAGTGCCTCACCTCCCCTGCCCTGCAGCGTGGCCGAGCTCCTTTCCGGTCCGTGACCCGACGGGACTGACAGGAAGTGCACACTGAGTGTGCACTTCCTGTCAGTCCCGGCGGGTCGCGGACCGGAAAGGAGCTCGGCCACGCTGCAGGGCAGGGGAGGTGAGGTGAGGAGATGCTGGGGGGA